CGCGATCCCTGCAAACTGCTCGCTGGCGCTGCTCCGGGAAAATGCGTGCCCCGCCGCCCCGCCACTTTGGCGCCTTTCCCTCCAGACGTGGTTTCCGTGCAGCCTAAGTTTGTGCGCGGGCAGCGGCCATCGGGGATTCCTCCTTGGCCTCACCCCTCACTTGAAGCCCCGGCAGGACGTCTCGCTCCCATTCTTGCTTCTGCGCAATCGACATGTAGCTTCCTGGGAAGCCATTACCTGAGGTCCCCGCCTCCTCCGACCCCCCAGGGGCTTTCCTGCACACAATGAGACCCGAGTCCTCTGCTTGGCAAGCAGGGCCGCTGGCCCGCGCTTCTGCACACCCCCCAGCTCTCAGCTCCCAGCTCCCAGCTCCCACCCCCCAGCTCCCAGCTCCCAGGTGGCGCTGCTCGCGTTGAAGAGGCACCCTTTGTTCTTTCCAGGCTCTAGTCTAGGCCTTTGCAGTTGCTGTTCCCGCTGCCAGGCAGACCCCTCCCAACACCCTGAAACCCCATTCTTGCACGGGTTGTTGCGCATGATTCAGGTTTCTGATTGAATGCCATCTTCTCAGAGAGGCTTCTTCGACCACCCCAAAATAGGAACCTCTAAAGCTCTCTTCAACCCCTTTTTTCTTCGTGACATCAGTAGTCAGATGTGTATTTGTTTTATTTTTTTGTCTGAAATGTCTGTTTTATTTAGTGTTGTTTCCCCCGTGTTCCACCCAGTGACTTCTTGTATAGAATAGATGATCAAGAAATAGTTATTGAATATTTTTTATATAAAGAGGATCTTACTATTTGTACCTTTTAGTATTGTGTAATTTGCTTTAAAAAAATAAACAATGTAGCAATTTATCCTGGACACCATTCTATAGCAAAATACAAAGATCTGGTTCCCTTCTAACGGCTCCCTACTATTCCATTGCATGGAGGCACCATTATTTAGTCTCTGATAGTGCACAGCTAGGCTATAGACAATTTTGCAACTAGCACGTATATTTTGCAAATTTGTTTTATTATTTCCTTAGGATACATTTCTAGACTATATGAATAAGATGAATATAGATTTTTGAAATGTGAATTTAAGACAAAGGAATTTTAGAAATCACTTGGTCCAATTTCTTATTTTGAGAAATGAAGAGAGATTACACAGCTATCCTATGTTTTTTATGGAGTTTTTTAATAGAGCTGAGTTTTTTAATTTTTTTATGATGTTGACATCTTTTTTAAATTTTTTTTATTGATTTCAGAGAGGAAGGGGGAGGGAGAGAGAGATAGAAATATCAATGATGAGAGAGAATCACTGATCACTCACCTGCCTCCTGCACACCCCCTACCTGGGATTGAGCCCACAACCCGGGGATGTGCCCTAGACTGGCATGAAAGCCGTGACCTTTCAGTCCGCAGGCTGACGCTCTAGTGACTGAGCCAAACCAGCTAGGGCTGAGTTTGCTTGTTTGTTTTTAATTTGTTTTATTTAATTTTACCAAAACCTGATTGGAATTTAGTAAGTAAGTATAAGTCCAGTAACAATTCTACAAAAATGGACATACAATGCCAGAATTCCTTCAAAGCAACTAAAATATTCTTCTTTTGCATAAAACATGCATTCACTGCCAATGTTGGCCAAAATCGGCCTCTATAAGAAGAGACAGTCCCCCTCCTCTCTGCCCTCCCTTTCACTCTCTCTAAAAATCCATGGAAAAAAAATATCCTGAAGTGAAGATTAACAAAAAACAACAACAAAAAGTAAGCAACTTTCTGATCCTTAAATCAAACATTTGAGAATAACAAACTTTCAGGCCCAAAGAGTCCACTACCTGTGCAGCCTTGCAGAGTGGGTGCAGGAATCCTGACTTGGAAAAGTTCCCAAACGGGATTGTAAAGACCTCAAAGATGCCCTGAGCTTTCTAACCCCTTTTCTTACAGGGCCAGCCCGGGACACACAAGCATTTCCTGTGGCCATAAGACCTTCCAGCTTCACACATCACTCTTCATGAGGATCTGTAAATAGGAGGTGTGATGCAGAAAAACATGGGATGGACCATTTCTTTGAGGTCTTGACTTTCTGTAGTTCTCATTCATCTCATCCAGGGATCAGTGGGCACTCGTCTACATGGCTGCTGAACACACAAAGGAGTATTAATAAACACTTGTGGCCCCAAAGCCTCAAATGCTCGTAGTCACATACCTCTAAGGGTGTTATCTATTGTCAGGGCAGACCTTGTTCCTCCAGAGGGAGAGAGTAACTCAGTGTTTATCAAAGGGTGTTTTCCACATAGACTGAGGGACTTTAAAGAGATTTCAAACCAAATGAAAGGACTTTCCCTCAAATATGGGGTTTTATACAATGTTCCATGAGGTTCTTCAAAAGAGAAGAGCTGAATCCTGACTTCAGGTCTCCTAACTCTTAGACAACTTGATTGTTTTACCTTTCCTACATACAATTGCAATCCCCTCGTGGATTTGGCTCAATGGATAGAGCCTAGGCCTGCAGACCAAAGGGTCCTAAGTTCAATTCTGGTTAGTCAAGGTCACTGATGTACCTCGTACCTCTTTTGGTCCGGGCCCTCAGGGCCCATGCAGGAGGCAAACAATTGATGTGTTTCTCTCACCTCAATGTTTCTCCCTGTCTCTTCCCCTCTCTTCCACTCTCTCTAAAAACAGTCAATGGAAAAATATCCTCGAGTGAGGATTAACACACACAAAGAATTGCAATTGCCTTGGAATGGGTTTGTGTATGGTGTAATGTAGGAGTCAAATTTCAGGCTATAATTATCATTTTACTATGTGGTATGTGATGCAACTAAATATCATATAAGGCAAGAACAGTCCTCCTACCCCCGAAATATTTTGTCCAGTGTTTTCCTCTAGAAGTTTTAGTTCTTACCTTTAAGGCTATGGTCCATTCTGAGTTAATTATATTGTGTGAAGTAAAAGTCAAGGTTCTTTTTTTTTTGCATGTGAATATCCAATTACTATAGCACCTTTTATTGAAAAGACTCATTTCTCCCATTGTTTTTCCTTGATACTTTCACTGAAAATTGATTATATATACAATGTCTATATCTGGGTTCTCCATTCAGTTTACATTTGATCTTTTTTTGTTTGTTTATTTGTTTGTAGATCCTAACCCGAGGATATTTTTTCCATTGATTTTTAGCGAGAGTAGAAGGGAGGGGGAATACAAAGAGAGACACACGTCCATTGGTTGCCTCCCACACATGCCCTAACTAAGCCTGCAGCCAAGGCACATGCCCTTGATTGGAATTGAATCCAAGACCCTGCCACCCTTCAATCCATGGGCTCACGCTCTGAGCACCCGGCTAGGGCAGTTCCATTGATCTTTATACCAATGTGAAGCTTTCTTGATTACTGTAGCTTTATAATCATTGTAAAATTGTTATAATACTTGTTAAAATTATGTACATTTGTTTTTTATTTCCCCCCAAAATTGTTTTGGCTGTTCTAGATCCTTTGCATTTCCATTTAAACTTTAGAATCTGCTAACCAATTCTGGTATTTTGATTAGGATTGCTTTGAGTCTATAAAGTAATTCACACATTAGGGAGACTGCCTTAGCCTGATGCCATTACCCTCGCTGAAATCATTTATTGTCAATTGACAACTCTTCTGATTCTGGGCTCATTAAACAACCAGATAGGTAGTTTGTATCCTGGAGGAGAAGGCAGTCATCAGAGGATGTGAATGGTTGGTTTTGTGAAGATAATTTTTTCTATGAAATAATACACCAGCATTCTAGTTGTAGCATCATTTTTAATGAACTGGATTAGTATCAGTCTGCCCAGAACAATAGTGTCACTCACGCATGCTGCGGCAAATCAAGTTCCCAGTTTGCAATAATGAAATTGCATCCTGGGTTGTGATGATTTCTCCAACCTACTGCGGCATTGGGGCAAGCGTATATGTTCAGATTACATCTCTCTGCCTCCTGGCCAGCGAGCTTTGAAGAATGAAGCCGGCTAGCATTCACTGAGGATATCCTAAGCACAGGTCATTTGTACCTATGCTGTAATTCCAGTCCTTGCTTTAATCACTACCTTTGAGGCCTTTGATAAGTCATTTGAAAAGCAGAATTGACCATTTGCAAACTCTGCCACTTTTTAAAAAATATATATTTTATCGATTTTTTACAGAGCGGAAGGGAGAGGGAGAGTTAGAAACATTGATGAGAGAGAAACATCGATCAGCTGCCTCCTGCACCCTCCCCACTGGGGATGTGCCCGCAACCAAGGTACATGCCCTTGACCGGAATCGAACCCAGAACCCTTGAGTCCGAAGGCCAACGCTCTATCCACTGAGCCAAACTGTTTAGGGCAAACTCTGCCACTTTTAAGAAATAATTTTTTATTGATTTCAGAAAGGAAGGGAAAGGGAGAGAGATATAGAAACATCAATGATGAGAGAGAATCATTGATTGGCTGCCTCCTGCATGGCCCCCACCAGGGACCAAGCCCACAACCTAGGCATGTGCCCTGTACAGTGCGATTGAAACCTCGTGGCCCGTGCGCAGAAGTCGGTATTTTGTGGAAGAGCCACACTCAAGGGGCCAAAGAGCCGCGTTTGCTGACCACTGCTCTAACCTGTCTGGCTCAGTGGATAGAGCATCAGCCTTCGGACTCAAGGGTCCCGGGTTCAAGTCCGGTCAAGGGCATGTACCTTGGTTGCAGGCACATCCCCAGTGAGGAGTGTGCAGGAGACAGCTGATTGATGTTGCTCTCTCATCGATGTTTCTAACTCTGTATCCCTCTCCCTTCCTCTCTGTAAAAAAATCAATAAAATATATATTTAAAACAAACAAACAAAAAACTGTCTTTGTTCTTCAAAAGCAAGAATATATTCAGGTAAATATTCAGAAGGAAATACCATAACTCAACCTTTTTCGTTAATTAGGAAAACTCTAATTTGTAATATAACAAATCAGTGAAAACAAACAACTTTCTCCCTCCTTACACCAAAACAAAACAAAACCCCAACACACACACGCCCAAACAACTCCTCTTTAGGCTCTGTCTTTGTTCTTCAAAAGCAAGAATATATTCAGGTAAATATTCAGAAGGAAATACCATAACTCAACCTTTTTCGTTAATTAGGAAAACTCTAATTTGTAATATAACAAATCAGTGAAAACAAACAACTTTCTCCCTCCTTACACCAAAACAAAACAAAACCCCAACACACACACGCCCAAACAACTCCTCTTTAGGCTATTCCATAGAACAGCGGCGCCACCGCCACTGGGGATCTGGTTAGAAATGCTGATTCTCAGACCCCGGCCCGGACCCACGGATTCAGAATGCGCACTGGACATGCTGGCGCGGTGAGGACGTGCCCACTGCAGTCTGAGATGAAGCCTTGCTCTGATCTACTGGGCGTTAGAGCCGACACTCTGCTGGGGAGAACTCGCAGGGCTGGCGGTCTCCGGCCTCTTTCACTAGATGGCAGTCCCCCTCTCATGTCCTCCCTGCGTCCCCCGCTTTGTTCCAGCCCCAAATTAAACCCGGGGTGCAGGCTGGGCCGGCCTTGAGGTGGGAGGGCGGGTCCCGGGGTGGGGCCGGCCTGCCCACTGGGCGCTCCCGGGCGGGGGGCGGGGCCCTATTTCAG